TTCCAAGTAATATATTTTTAGGTAAAATTCACATTTTATGCTATTATTAAAAATTTGGGTCCCAAAAGATTATTATACAAATTAAATAAAAAAAAACTTTTGAAACCCCCCCCCCTAAAAAAAGAAAAAGAAAAAAAAACAATCGAAGTCTTTTTTATTAATTTAAGGAAGAATTAAAGCATATAATTTTTTCATGATTTATGACTGCTGACGTCCTCTTTTTTACAAATATAAAGGAGGAAAAAACTTTTCATTCCAAAAGAGAAGGAAAGTTATTAGATATCATAACAAGGTAAAAGTAAAGTATAAAAAAGCAATTGAGGAAATCCAGTCGATTTATGCTACAGGTAATAATAGTTACTGCAAATGCATCCAAAAGCGAGGTTAAAGAACGAAATGCTCTTTCATAATGAAAAATTAATATCTTAAAACAATTATTACTTACTAGAAAGATTAAAAATAAATTTTGGTTATTAAATTTTTATTTAAGTTTAAATATATCTTGCTCAGCTCACATAAGCTTTTATTAGATAAGTAAAGAAACATTAATAAAAAATTATAAATTACATGGCGTGCCCGGCGTTTTAGGTCTGAAAAAAAAATCTATTTACTCCTTTTTAGTCAAGAAAACACAGTTTTTATTCTATTTTATTACTTTCAGATTTTCAATTTTGCTTAGGTTAGTTCGAGTTGGAAACCAGTCAAAACTTCGATTGACGATAAAATGGCACTGTGTTTGGCTTGCTCTATTTAGGTAACAGTTGTAACTACGATTCAAATACGGAGCTTCTGATATAATTTTATCTGCTAGTTATTCCGTAAGTAGCCGAAATTTCCTACGATGATAAATTTTATTTGATTATAAAATGGTATTTTGGTCATTACAATTATTTGTATTGGACATGATCTTGTATTGGACACAACTCAAAATGAGTTATAAAAAAATAGACTCAGACTTCCAAACTTATCTAATAAAATTTTTTCTTTTTTTAAAGAATAAACCAATTGATCAAAATAACTTTTTAATGTGATTTTGTTTATTTGCAAACATTATTTAGCCCTTTTCTTAAATCAGTATTTATTGAAAAGATATTAAAAATTGACAGTTCTTTTTACAAGGTTGTCGTTGATCCTATCTTATATCTAAAATAGTCATATTAAATCGACATGATACGAACTTTTTAAAATAATTTTATAGTTTAGTGTACCGAATACGAACAGATGCCTGAAAAGTTTCATTTGGAATGTACCTAGAAACTCCGAAGTACAGAACAGGGACCAGAAATAATTATGCTCAGTGTGTAAAGAAGTTTAAAAAAAAAAAAAAACAGAACATTAAATTTTTTGTTTAGTTGTTACATTCGGGTAGGACACTGAAAAGGCTTATTTTTTGCTCTCTCTGTTTTCATAAGCACGCATTTTGAGCTGTGTGAGTTTTCATAAACGTGCATTTTGAATCGTGTCCATTCTCTTAAATACGCATTTTGAGTTGCGTACATTTTCTTAAACCTGCACTTCGAGCTGTGTACAGAATAAAAAAGCTAACAGGTGGATGCACTAATTATAATTGTCGGAAAGAAGTTAAAATTTTGATTGACGATAAATTATCTGAGGCAATAATAAAGCGATAAATTCTCCTTGTAGCATCACGAAAACGCATGAAACGTGCATTATTATTATTATCAAGCACTGAGCTCCAGTACCGATTTAAGTGCTTTAGCAGTCAGAAAGTTGTCGAAATTGAGATTGCAAGATCCCCCTTTCAAACAGGAAAACGAGTTAATAAAAATGCAATGATAGCAACAAAATAACATCATTAAAAGGCTTGCATGAGTAGCGTCATACTATTCGTCGAACGCATGCAGATTTAAAATCATAAAATTAGTATTCAAACTTTTGTCCATTCAAGGAAAATAGTTCAAAGGTTGTAATCCATAAGGTTGTAAAGGTTACACATACACACATATATATATAATTATATATAGAGAGAGAGGGAGAGAGAGAGAGCACTGTCACCTCTCTTACACATTCTTTCCAATGATGATGGAGGTCTTGCGCATTCCCTACTCTATCCAGAGTGAATATGAGTCCAGAATCGGTAGTTAGATTAAATCAGCTTTCGTCCGTACAAAGTACTTGAATCCATTCCCAATTTTTTCAGATCTGGTGTTCCCAGCATGACAGAAAATACTGTCTTTGATGAAAAGCCAGTAACAGTACAGACCGTTCGGGCAGTCGTGTAAATAGACTACCGTCGTGTAACGTTCTGACAAAGCTAAAATGCGATATTGGCAATCTTGAAATTTGTTGCACATGTCTTGTGATTTTTCTTGCTTTCTGTTCCTTCTCGCTCGTAAAAACGATATATCTATCATCCGCCGCAGTGATTGCAAGTAGGTGACCACTATTAAACCTTTGAACAGCTGTTTCTGTCGTTTGAAATGTTCTCCAAGGTCTTAAAACTATGCTATCCCGAACCCCATACTAGTCACACTTCGACAGTTACTTATCGTTTTAATTGACACACACCATGAGAACTTTCACAGAAACTTTAAGTGCTTTATACTCATCCTCCATTCGTCCACTCGGTCATGCTACACATACAGGGTGTCCCAAAAATTATTGTACATACGTAAGGGTGTAATAGAACACAACTAGAGAAGCGCAAATCACCATACAATCCATGATCCGAACTCAAGTCGTAACGCGTTAAAAGGTACCTCCCAGCAACCGCTATAAAAATTCTGTTCACAGCAATTATCTTTCTCTCTGTAGATTATCGATGAGATGGATGAGTACTCAAATCAGGAGATGCATTACATGTACACAGCTGCAGACGGCAATGATTGTACCGACAAGACGCTTCCCTGTCCCTGCTGCGAGCATATTTCAACGATTGCACCAACAGCTCTGTGAATGGGGTTTCTTTTCAAGTTGCATTCAGGATACTGGACACAGCAGGAGTGTAAGAACGCTGTCTGTAACGGGCGGCATTGTGCATCGTATCAGCAACTGGCTTGAATCTAGCATGCAGGCACTGTCCCAAACCGTTCACGTTCCCCGTAATACGGTGTGGTGAAGGCTGCGAGAAGGAATGCATCCCTACCATGCGCAGAGAGTTCAAGGCCTGAAACCATCGGATTAGCAGGCACGTGTCAAATTTACTACATGGTTTCTCCAACAAACGGATTTTTATGCACATATGTTGCTCACTGACGAATGCACATTCACAAGCAAGGGTCGTTCGAATATCCCCAACTATCATATGTGAGCGATTCAAAACCCGTACACATTCGTCCCCGCAACGTTGCGTACTAAATGTTTGGTCCTGAATCGTGCACGACCATCTGATAGGATTATACGTATTAACAATACGGGTGGATGGAGATTCAAACCGGGCCAACCGGGAGGGCTGAGAGGACAGCCGAACCATCTAAAGTTTAAGTGAGATGACAAACAATGTGTCTCACCCTTCCAAAAATTTAGACACTCGCAAAAATAAAGTCAAATAAAATTGGTAATTTTAGAAGAAAATTTTTTTTTCAATTTTAAAGCTTTTTTTTTCTGCAAATAGAAAACTTTATATTCCTCTGATATTAAAGTGAGTGAATAATGTGTCTTACCCCTTCCGATATTTAGACATTCGTTAACGATAATTTTAATAAGCAAATGAATAGAAAAAATCGGGACCGAATGATTTTGATAATAATAAGCGATTGATAATATTAACAACTATCCCATTAAGCGGAAACTATTAAATTTCAAGTATGATGTCTAATTGATATTTATTCGCATAATATTATCAGGGGCCTGAGAGTTTTCTTTAGGTCACAGAACATTTTTCTTTGAATATTATGGAAAATAGCATACTCAGGTCTTCTTGGGGTCGGCTCGATCTCTCGCAGGTAAATTATTAACACCCTATGTAATAGAAGTGAAGTACTAAGTGCGGCTATTAATTTCGAGAATTCATCTAATAACTCATAAAATTATTATGTGAATTACATACAGATTTAATGTATCTAACTAATCTCCATCACCAGTCCTAATGCAGCACTCAGCTGAAAAGTTCCTGAAAGAAATTTCAAATGCTCTATCGAAATTCTTTAATTCTGGTTTTCCTAACATCTTCAACATTCTTAATCAAATTGTCTTGGTTACACTTGTTACCTAGGTAGACCTGCAGCACGCTCTGCAGACTATCATAGCTGCTTCTGCAGATTATTTTTTTAAAATGTTCAAAAATTGCGGAGAAGAAACAGATTTTCTTTTTTAATTCCTAAACTTTTTCAAATACTTATTTGTTAGCGAATATTAGAGAGGAAGAAAATTTATAAGTTTCTATAATTCTAAATAACTTTTTCTAGATAACTGGAATTTTGGAAAATGAAGAGAAAATTTAAATAACAAGAATATCTTTTATTTTTTTTAAATAAGAATTTTTAAACTATGGTTACTTGGTTACATACTGTGCAACATTAATTTTTTACAACATAATTTTTATCCCTCTCATATATAGATGCAAATTTTGCTGCTATATACTTGTGAGATTAAGCCTAGTTTTTGAAATGATCAGTCTTCAACCAACTGTTAAAGGCTGTCAGACAAATTTAAATTTAGGAAAATTACGTTGCAGACAGACTCTGTAAAGTTTGCTACCAGGGTGGTTGAGAAAATGAACCATTCACCACTCTTTGGACAATTTCTTGCAAACCTTTTCTTGTTTTTCCAATCCAAAATTCTGATAAGTTCAAGAATATTCAAGACTTCAGGAAAACTAAAAACTCCGATATCATAATTGAAGAGCAAATTAAAGGGGACACCTTAAGAGGAAAGTTGTTTCTGAAACTTTTTCAACCTCACAGAAGGACATTGAGGTAGACAGGTGGAGGTTATTTCGAAACACATGATGGAGTTGGCATAACATTTTCAGGAGTTGTTAGATCAGTTTCGGAAATTAATAGCTGCAACCATATATATAGTAAAAAAAAATCACTCACTTGTACATCCATGGTTCTACTGTTACCACCTTAATACCGAATCTGTACATTTCTAACCGTAAACCATCGCAAAAACTGACGGTTGCTTGTTTACTCATGCAATAAGGAACTAAACCAGGATAAGTGTACCGACCTTTAATAAAAAGAAAATGCATTATTCTTAAAATGGAACACACATCAAAAAAAAAAAAAAAAGAATTTAATAATAATTTTAGATCAGACAAGTCAAACTAGATTACAAATGATTAAGTTACTGCGCGACGAATAATAAGGGAAAAGCTTGTAGCTTATTGTTATTTTTGGAAGGCAAGGATAGGCTAAATTCAACATCATTCCATCCAAATTTTAGTTATAAATTATTTTTTGAAACTTTTAGGTGTCATAAGCGCTTTGTTTATACTCCTTTTAAATTAAATAGACAATTCCAGTTCTTAATATATTTTCCTGAATCTATTTTACTTCCAGTTTACACTGCATAATTTTGATTAAGGCATTTTTAAACAATTTTAAAAATAATAAGTATAATGAGAAACGAGTGTAAAATATAAATTTACTTTTATCAGAGTTCATGTTGGCAACAAATGACTAATCACCGGTTATTATTCGTTTGATAAGCCTGATTTAGATCATTAACTACACTGGTGTGCAAAACTTAAGCAACAAGTGGTTTTTCGGCCACAGCTACCCAACAAAGTATAAGATAGCCATGAAATTGCAGTATAATATGCACGTAATTCAGTAGAAAGATTATTTGTATGCAAATTTTAGAAATAAAACGTCGTAGGTGATGTAAGTGTACGTAAACCTTGGGGGTCGGCGCGCAGGTCAAAGCTGTGATAAAAGGATGAAGAACACCATAGTTAAAGACATTCGCTGCAAGTGCAAGTGACTTGTTTTGAGAAACATGTCTGCAAGAAATCATTTAGACGACTTTACTCGAGGAAGAATGATAGGGAAGCTTGAGGAGGGGCGTAGTGTGACCAGTGTCACCGAAGAGTTCGGGATCAACAAAAGTGTTGTTTCTCGTGCTTGGAATGCCTTTAAAACTACTGGTACAGCTGTTCGGAAGGTTGGTGGTGGCCGTCCAAGGAAAACAACACCAAGAGATGACCGTTACATTGTCCTCCAGGCGAAAAGAAACCGTTTTCAGTCAGCGAGCGCCATATCTCAGCAACTGTGCACAGCCACAGGACGACAAGTATCAAGATTTACAGTGGCCAGACGCCTCCACAAAGGTGGCTTATTTGCTAGACGTCCTGAACGCTGCATACCTTTAAAAGTTAGCCATCGGCGGCACCGTTTAGAGTGGTGCAGAGAACACGAAACCTGGACACCTCATCAATGGAGTCGCGTCCTCTTCACAGATGAGAGTCGTTTTAGTGCTACAAGCGATTCTCAACGTCAGTTGATCTGGAGAGAGGTTGGAGCTCGATTTCATCCCAATAACATCGCGGAAAGAGATCGTTACGGTGGTCCTGGAGTTGTCGTCTGGGGTGGCATTATGTTGAACGGGCGGACTGAGCTTCAGATCTTCGACCGAGGTTCTGTAACTGGAGACCGCTACTGCAATGAGGTAATCCTACCCCATGTGCGTCTGTTCCGAGGGGCCATTGGACCAGACTTCATTTTTATGGATGACAATGCCCGGCCACACCGTACTGCTAATGTTCAAGAGCTACTGGAAAGTGAAGATATCACACGAATGGATTGGCCAGCTTACTCTCCAGATCTAAATCCCATAGAGCATGTGTGGGATGCATTAGGGAGACGTCTTGCGACACGACAGTATCCTCCTGGTAACACCCATCAGCTGAAAGATCCGTTAAAGGAGGAATGGAGACGTTTACCCCAAGAACTCCTGGATAATCTGGTGCTTAGCATGGAGAGACGATGCCAAGCAATAATTACAGTAAGGAGAGGGCATACCCCATACTAGGGAACATCTGCCAGTTGTACTTACGCTTCTTCAGTCAATCATGTGTAACGCCACTATGTCAAATAAAGCCTTTTTTTGTTTCATACCCTACTTTAAGCTTTATATTCATTTCTACGCCATTGTTCTTTTACCATCGTTTAAGTACAAAATAAAGTACATCATATTCAAATTTCATGTCAATCGGATGATTTCTTGTAGAGTTATGACAAAAAACGCACTTGTTGCTTAAGTTTTGCGCACCAGTGTATATTAACTAGAACCATACAGAAGTTGAAAAGTTGTAATAAATTTCACTTGATCACAACGTATATGTAGATGTAAATTGCTGACTCGTTTTCACAAAAAACAAGTAAATTTGCGGCGTACTTTTTATTTTTTTAATTAAGAAATACACAAATTTTTCATTATTAAATTGATATTTTTTTTTATAACTGAACAGTATGTAAAAAATAGAAAGTTCGGTTGGCCCACTTTTCGGAAAAACTACAAACAACATTGCGCACCATATTTCTGATATATATATGTAATATAGAATGCCTCATACGAGTCTTTCTATATTAAATGATGAGCTTAAAACAGATGTTTCCTATCAACTTTAAGAAGTAGAAGTCGGTCTCTCTCAAAGAGCCATAAAAAGTCAAGAAACCAGATAAAAGATTATTTTCTGAAGTTAATGGGCAATAATTCGTAGATAAAGTACGCATTAAGATAGTCCCAAAAACTTCCCAGGGCCAGAATGGCGCCATCCTTTTAGCGAATCAAAATCTTTAAATTTTATCATTTGAATGACGTTTCATTAAGATAAGAATATCCTTGCAACCACCTCCCTTTTCAGAACCCCCCCCCCTTTAAATATCAAGAGCACCGAAAATTCGTGGTTTTTTCATATTTTTCGTAGCTAGATAAATCTCTGCCAATTCCCAACATTCCTGCTAGGGAAACCCCCAATGTAATCGAGGCAAAACTCCCACGAACAATGTTTTCACTACTTAATATAACTCAATAAAATGCCTATTTGAGTGAAGTAGCCTAAGTCTCATTAATTATCTAGCCTTTAAAGACGTATTATTACATATATATATTTTTTTAAATTGAACTTATGAGTGTTACCTGCGGCACTAGCAACTGTTACAACTCGTCCTTTAAACTTCACTAGAAGAGGAAGAAACGCTTTAGTAACTTTGATAACACCAAAAGTGTTAACATCAATAACTCGCTTAATGGTTTCATTGTTAGTCCAGAACAATTCTCCACCATCATTCAGGCCTGCATTGTTTACAACTGCCCATAATTCTGCAACAAGGATAAAATAAATATGATTATTAATGTATGAATATATTAATATTTATAATTAAATAAAATAAGCTGATTCCACACAGTTAAAGAATAATGTGAAAAGATACTAAATGGCTTTCTAATGAAATAGAAACTATGAATTGAAAGATATGTTATGGTCATCAATATGTACGGTGCAGGAGAAAAAAACGAATATGCTGAATTATTTTTAATTTGAACATCGGGTTTTCACGTACTAGGATTATTTAAATCTTCTATTAAATTGTCAATCGCGCATGTAATTTTTACCCTCAGATGCCCGTGCATGTAAATATGTAATCAAAAATACTAATTAAGTGCCTCCTTAAGTCACGACAAAAATCACTGAGATATAAGATGTGATAGATAAACCTTACCGAAGGAAAAGAAAGAAAATAGAATATATTTGATAAGATCTAATTCAAATATTTTTTAACTTACAAATTATAGAAAAAAAAGTAAACTTATTTTTTTTATTCCCTTAGCCACGCTTAATTTTTAATTACAAATAGGTTCACATTGATAGCTGAGAATAAAAATAATTAATATAAAAATTTGAGTTTGAAGTTAGCTTAAAATTCGTTCCAAGTTATTATTCCTATTTTCCTTCTGCAGTTTCATTTTTCTTTCTGGTAAATGAGGACAATTATGCCCTAATAAATTTCTTTAAATGATCAGTTTAATAACATAATGCTTTTAATAAATGCTTTTAATAAATGTTTCTAATTATGCTTCTTTGATAAGAATACTAAATGCTTCTGATTTGTATTTAAAATTAAAGTTTAATGCAGACTTAATATCGTTAATGTCATTTTTTTCCAACACATTATAAAAATAGTTACATCCATATGTTTTAATAACATGCATTAAAAAACATGTTTGGCAGGGTAGAAGTTTATTTTGGACAGGTAGATTAACACACACGCAAGGGCGTGTAAAAATTTTATATATTTTGACCGCCCTGCAAAACTTATATTTTTGTAACTACTTGATTTCAACTACGAGATTCAAATAGTATCACTTCCAAAACATTTTTTTCAAAAGCACATTAGGATATGTGACGAACTCGATGTTTAGTAATTCCTTACATTAGCGTAACTCGTGTAAAGTCAAGGCATCGGCAAAAAACATTTACATGCATTCTGTGACTGAGATACTTACTGTTGTCTTTAAGTTTTTCAGTGACATATTTCACTGCTTTTTCGATACTTTCATCGTTCGTGACATCCAGAGGGACGATATGGAGTCTTGAAGACGCTGATTTCTTGAGGGTACCAGCCCCTTTACCATCAGGTAGGAGACATCCAGCGAAGACTTGCAGACCTAAGTCATCCAGGCGCTGAGCTAGAGAATTACCAAAACCACTGTCACATCCTGAAAAAGATAGTAATACGGTACACTTTATTTAATGAGCACTGAAAAAAGGTAGAGGTAGAACAAAAATGAAATTCTCTCTATACACAAACACCGAAGAGCCATTACATTATGACCACCCTCCATCTATAACAATGGGCTCGTCCAGGTTTTCATGGTTTCTTGCCCAGGAACAATGTTTTCAAGGGGCACATTAGGACCCGTAATCCTCATAGAACAATCCCAGACGTCTGTAAGCTACTTGAACATATTTGAAGACCAGGTTCACCCATTCATGGCAAAAGTTTTTCCTGCGGGGGGGTTTAGCAACAGGATAACACGCCATATCATAAGGGTCGAATCGTCGAGGAACAATCCAGTGACTTTCAAGTCATGTCTTGGCCCCCAAATTCAGCTGACCTTAATCCAATAGAGCATTTGTGGTCCTACTTGGAAAACCAAATTCGTGCTACCACGCTACCCCCTCGCAATGTGAGGGAATTGCAGGACCAGTTGGTGAGCGCTTAGTACCAGATACCTCAGCCTACCTATCAGCACCTTGTGGAATTAATGCCACGGCGGGTGCTAGCAGTTTTGAGGGCTGAAGGTGGTCCTACATGTTATTAGCTGGGTGTTCATAATGTAATGGCTCTTCGGTGTATATTTATCTCCATCTCTTTAACTATCTAACTGATGCCTCCAAGAAGAACGGAGTTGCTTCTTTTAGTAATAGAAGGAGGCAGAAGATGAACCACCCAGGAACTGCCTCGGTAGTATTGTGGGGGAATAGGGATAATGATAGGTTGTTAACTCAAAATATTATTCCAATGTGTTTAGAAGGCCGGGATAGCCTGGTTGGTAGAGCACTGGGCCCATGTCTAAGAGTTCGTGGGTTCGATCCCCGCCGACCACAGATTCCCTGTGTAGTAAATGGTGACTGATGCACGTTAAATCTGTTGAATCGCAAAATCGTTATGTTCCCACAAACAAATCAATATCTCTGGGGGTACTGATCCAGAAGTTTTCTTGTCTTCTGAATTGGTTCAAAATGACAAGGCTACGGAGTTGAACATTGGTAGTCGTAAACCCAAAACTGGGTCGGCTGTTCAACGACGGATATAAAAATGTGTTTGGAGTAAAGATGTTTTTATCATTTTCAGTTTTTGAGCGGGCTATGTTGTTGTATTTAGAAATCAGTTTTATGCTCGTGTGTCATTTTTACATGTCATGATATTCGAAGAAAAGATCATCGACGAAAAAAAACTATGTAATTAATCTAGAAGAAATCGAAAGACTGAATTGAAATGTGAAACAGGCGAAACCTAAGTCAGTGATATTCTAGAGAATAGAAAAAAAAAAATAGGAATTAGTAATCCAAAATTATTAAATTTAGAAGGACTGCTGCAGTAGTGTTTAATTGGTTTTGTTCTATAAGAATATTCCTGTAGGTCTGTATTGATACAAGAAATGGCAAAAAAAAGTTTCGGAAAGTCAAAGCATCAAATGGTTGCTTATAGATAAATTTACGCAAATGCATGACATTATTTTTAAAATAATTGAATATTAAAATATATGAAGTGAAGATAAAATATAGAAAAGAGAAACACAAACAAAACAAACAATGAAAAACAAAACACACATTTAAAAATTAAATCACGACATTTTGCTATTCGCTCTAAAATATTAAAGATTAACTTGTTATGTTTATGTCTAGATGTTTATCTAGATGTTTATCGGCAATTTTTTGTTTACGAATAACTTATTCTTATAAGGTTACAGCCGAATATTAACTATATCCACATATACACGTTTAAATTGTTCGTCATAATGTTCAAAATTATAGTAAAAATGAACTTATTAATTTAAAAATCAAAAGATAAACGAAACATTTCCTACCATTTTTAATTTTTGATGAAAATCTTTTACGAAGAATGAGAAGTTAGCAGTTACAGTTTTCTCATTCAAATTGTATTATTTAATATAATAATGAAATTAATTTTGATAATATTTCACCCATTAAAGCTCGAATGTCAAATAAGGAAAAAAAATCATGTGAAAGATACTCCCATTTATAAAATGATTATATATTTACATTCAATCTGGGTTGAACATAAGTTATAGATTTAAAAAAAAATAGAATGTCTTCATTATCTTATATCCATATAAATATTTTATTGTGGATTCAAATATTTTACTTAATCAAGTTAAATGTAAATAATGACATCATGTAAATATTATTATTTACCGTTTTAATAAAAATATTGCTAGCCTTCTAATTCCGGGCAAAAATTATTCAATAGAAATTTTGAAATTATACTTTCTGCAATAATTTATCACAATTAACACGTTAAAGCAAGAGTTTTTTACACTGCATTGGTGGGGGAAAATGATAGAGAGAAATTTTTCATTATAAATTATTCATATTCATTATGATTGTACATTAATGTGTACATTAAGTAGACATTAATCGTTGCCTACCACTTAAATTCTAAACATTTATAATACACAGATTTAAATCAGAAGCTTCATATTTCTAAAATAACACGGACGCCACGCATGTTTTGTTAATCCAAAATAAAAACCTATCAGGAAATAATTTGCGTCACCACTTTTAATTTTTATTTATTTATTATTTGTTCATCTATAAATTTATCTGTTTATTTATTTTTTAGAATTAGAGAGCTAAAGCTTATCCAACCAGATTAGGATACTGGAGCAACTGTGTTAAGTTTAATTTATTTCTGTTTTTAAAAACTATCTGCAAATAATCAGGAATCGTTTTTAAATGGATTAAGTTTTTACAATACCAGAACTAACACTGCCCATCTTTTTGTAGCTAAGTAATTATCTAAATAATCAAAACGCTTATTTAGGTAAAAATAGAAAATCCACAAGGAAATCTATCACTTCCATCAAGGAAAAAACGAATGCGTATGGAAAAAAAAACTCGAATAAAAACAAGGAATAAGTACAAACAAAATGAGAAAAAAAAAATTAATTTCAGGATTGATTTTTTACCAATAGGCTTATCAAATTTTTAACTGAAGGACTAAAATAATGAATTAATATCAACCAGGATAACGCCTTTAAGGCACTGGCTTTAAAACCAGTCGATTTCTTCTTCTTTATTATTACTTAGCCTCCAACTAATAAGATCTACATACTTTATTAATATCTAAATAGCACTTAGTACACGTACAAGTTGGCAGCTATGTAATAATAATAAAGCAATGAACTGGTATTAATGCCAGCGCTTCTTCTTTCAATAACTTAGCTTGTTTCAGTTTTCATTTTTCAAGTTCGCATGTTCTTTTAACTACACATAATAAATGCATGATAAATTTATCTTGGAAGCAATCATTTAGATAAGATAATTTAGATTCATCACTACCAATCATCTAACCTGCTGGTTTTAATGCAATTCAGCAAAAAGATCTTATCTATTTTCCTTTTGTTATAATAACCTTTGTTTGTCATATCATATCAGAAAGATTTTGTGATAAGATAAAATAACAAAATTTTTGTTCAAAGTTTAAGATTAGAAATAAAAATAAGGAAAAATAGTTATCCAGTTCAATTTATGGAACTTCTATATTTACCTCAATATAAACTTTGATTATTAGGATAAATACTGAAAGCACTTTGATTATTTAGATAATTACTGAACAATAAAAAGCTGGTTTGAAGATAGGCATTGATAGATTTGATAGTGTAATTTTAGCTGAATTCCGCACCATGGATTTACGAAATATAGGTTGTGTTCATGCGATAGATTAATGAAGAAGCTAGCATAAAACTGACGGGCTTTACACTGTACTGATATTTTGTTTAAAAAAAGTTCATTAATTAAAGAAACCTAAAAGAAATTTTCCATTCGATTTTGGGGGCCCGGAGCAACTGCCCTGTATGCCCCTGCCTTTGTCAGGCTCTGAGTGCGACGTAAATAAAGTACTACTACCCATAAAAACAATGTCTACATGTGTTCGCTAAAGAGAGGTGTATTACTACCATTAGAAATTGTTTCGAGTGTCACTGAATAAAATAATAAAAACAATAAATATTTACAAAAGTTATTTTTTTCACGGATTATCTTTGGATAAACGAATTTTTGATATAATTGTGTGCTTTCAATTCACTTAAATAGTTCTCGAGGTACGAGGAAACATGCAAAAAGTAAAATTAACCAAACCTTAACCAAACTATTGGGATCAAATTTCCCAGATTGTGGTAACCTCTCAAATTTTGGGTGTCAGAAATCCGAAACAGTCGGAAAAAATATATGTTTTGCATTCAGAGAAAATGCGTTATTGTGTCTGATTTCGTAACTTAAAACATTGTCTGCACTAATTAATTTGAGGTCACCCCGTCGAACCATTAAGACTAGAAGGTGACGATCCGATCATTAGATCAAAAGTTATTCAGGGTAGCAGGGCTCGAAAAACCGCCCGTCCTCGGCTGTCAAAAATTCCCCGCGGACAACCAATTTCTCGAATCCGACGTCCGAGCGAACGGCCATTTTCCCGTTAATGTTCGTGATACATTTTCTGGATATATTGTCTGGGAGTACTGCAGCGGTTGAAAGGGACTTTTCGGAATGAACTTACAAAAAAACACATTACGTACTGATCTTAAACAAGAAGCGTTAAACGCAATTATGAACATCTACCTAAATGGAAATCCCCTTTCAGATTTATGTGCAGAAACCTCTGTAAATCATTGGTTTGATTGTAGAACTGGCAAACGTCATATTTGATTGATTTAAAAAACGCAGTACCCAGGGGCGGATCTACTTAAGGGCTTTTTGGGCTGCAGCCCAGGGTCCACTGAAAACAATAGGTGATATTTTGAATTTTAAAAAATTTCTGATATTAAAAAAAATAATATTATAAGGTTGGCAACCCTGAGATCAATCAACCCATGCATGTGCGCGTCTATCGATCGGAACGGGGAATTACCCGTCCCTTGTTTTTGGTCAGTGTATTTTTTCGCGTCTATTACGGGGGACTTCCGCAGCACCGCTT